GCTTCTTGTTCTATCTCCAGAAACACGACCTCATGTTGCCAAGTTTGTCTCCCTCGTTGGCAGACGGAGTGTTGGCCATATTTTTGGTTAAGCCTGAGAAGTAACCGAAGAATTGAGAATTGCCGAAGGAGGAGTAGTGGTTGTTTCTTCTCCGGACCTCACCATGTGTCCAATTCCGCTCATTCATCTGCTGCTCAAAAATATCACGCTGAAAACCGGTTATGGGGTGCCCTTACATGTTCGTTCTCCATATGTGACACGCTATACCGTCGTTCTCAACTTTCAAATCGTGCCTGGCCTTCGTGTTTTCATGCCTTGAATCCAGAACAACACTGCGTCGTCATATTGTTTAAGTGTTGTGTTTTTGCATCATGAAAACCGTCGTGATGTGCCAACAGCTGGCAAAGCTCACAGTGAAGTGAGGCGTTCTTCCTTACCAACTTTAACACACTCTTTCAAATATTTTCTTCCTGTGTTCATTCATTTAAAGTGGTGGCTACAGAAGCAGTGGTTCCCCTTTCGATGTAATTATCAGTGTTTTGTTATCTATCAAATTAAACACTAAAAGCACTCGTTCTCGGACGTTTGCTTTGCGGGTGCGCCACGCACTCTTCATCCCAGAGTTTTGGGGTTTTCAAGCGCCCACAATGGTTTCGTGTTTCTGGTCGATGTCAATTGAAACTCAGTGTTTTCATGGTTTCCAGACCAAAGTGATACCCACTAATAGGCTTGGAATGAACGAAGGTTGACCTGGGTGGGAGACGAGCCGAGAGTTCGACATATGGCTGGCGGCACCTTTGCCACTACACTACCTAGCCCAACTGCTTAATTATAAGAAAATTGTAACTCATTTTTATACTACAATTTCCATTTTTTTCGAGAAAGATGCAGTACTGCCGCACTGGGCGTAGACCCAATTTTGAATATACACTGGTGTGCAAAACCTGAGGACGAGAAGATGCATTAACATAACTATTTGGTAGCAGTAATAACTATTTGGTAACAGTTCTTACTATGCGTGGTGAGTTCCATAGTGCTGTCTTACTCGGCAGTATCAATCATGGAAAAGTTACGTTCGTCCTCAAGTTCTGCACACGTGTAATATTGTATTAACTTTAAGATGGGAGAGGCTACGTTACCCCTGCAAAGAGTCGTACTCGACGAATTTCTCCAGCTTTGAGAGCGTGAGTGTTAAAAAGGCGCATATTTCTGCCGACGGCTCCTGAGCTGTTGGTAGGATAGTTTTTAGACCAATTTCTGCAAGTCAACTCAGATGCGTGCTTCTCACAGCGCTGCCCTCTTTTCTACTTTTTACTAAAAGGCTCTACTAGCGTAGATTGTGTCGCTTCATCTAATCTTCGATTATTATCTCATTTAAATTCCTTCTTTTTTCCGATTTCTATTTCTCTCTCATTTGCCCATGCGAGTCTCTCGTTCTTCCCTTGATGCCTTCATGCTTTGCAAAAGCTAGTTCTTACTTACCGTCTGCAGTATTAGGTTGAATGAATTCATAATCACTTAAATGTATTCGACTAAGTCACGGTAGAGAAGTACGTCTAGATTCTTGCAGTAGCAGTTATTCTCTGCTGTCGTATGCTTTTTTTTTGCTTCGTTCGTTTCCTGTTCCTTTGTTCAGTTGCTACGAAGTAATTCACCACATTCGTACGGTGTTATTGTCGTTCCGAGACACGTTTTCGTTGATTCACCAAGCACTTAATGGCGAAGCGTCTTCAATTGCTCCGCTGATTATAATCGATGTTCAGGTAAGCCAAAATGGAGGAAGCGAAGAACATGGCGTTGCTGTTCTTTATGGATCATCTGATGCAAAAGAACGGCCGACGAACGATTCACGATCTGAGCTGTCAATTCGGTGCACGCGGGTCAGTATGAATGAAAATTCATGGAAATCTTATGAAAAGTTTAGCTAAAAATCATTTGAGATTTATTCGAAAATCAATATTTTAATCATGTTTAATTGCCTCGGACTATAGTCCCACCTTAAAGTTGATCGGGAAGCTTCTTATTTAAAACGTCGGCATTAAATTATGACCAGATGTGAATACGGATCAGTTCTCACCAGGAAGGTCTTTCAGGGACGTGCCAAGCTTTTTGAAAACGGTCTTTTGCATGATATAGGGGCACATGCGGGAACCACAGAACCATGGTTAATTTTTCCTGAACGGCCCTCTGAATACCAGAAAAGGGGGTCCCTAGTTCGATTCCTCGTGGTGACAAATTTTTGCATTTCGAGTTGACGTTCAAAATTCGCGCAAAATGGAGTTAGCATGAATAATTAGTACCATATTCATGATTAGGACCGTCAGTAACCCTTACAAATAGACTTTGATTGAAAAACTGGTGAAAAAGGTGTGACTAGGGACCCCCTTTTCTGGTATTCAGAGGGCCGTTCAGGAAAAATTAACCATGGTTCTGTGGTTCCCGCATGTGCCCCTATATCATGCAAAAGACCGTTTTCAAAAAGCTTGGCACGCCCTGAAAGACCTTCTTAGTCAGAGCTAGGAGTGAACCCTGTGGAAAGAATTTCGATAATGATTTGAAAAGTGAGCTCTACGTTTCTTAAAATTGGAAGTGGAGATCGACGAGAAAGCAATACTAGATATCCTTACTGCTATGGATTTCGTAGTTACATTTCTCTTTCATTGCAGTTTTGCTTGACACGAAACGAGTAGATATCTCCAAAACTTTTTGGATTCTGTTTTTATACCCATTTTGTTGCTTCATACCATAAACATACCAGTTTTCACAGCTAACTATATATTTGAAACTTTTACTGTTTCTTTTCATTTTGGCGTCGAAATTTGCTTGATCCGTTACGAAGGAATTGTTATCTTCAGTTTCTCAGAAGAGATGCGAAATGCGGTCGGCACCACCCAGGAGGGCCTTACCGAGTTTCTTCAGCAGCACCCATCCCTCTTTACCCTAGAGGGAGATCAGGTAGGGCATACGTTATCTATGTTTATTTCAATGGGCTCCTAGATGAATGTGCAACAAGAACGATAGAATTCCTTCTCACGTCTGATTCGCGGACCATCTCGTGCCATAGGTCATCTCACGAATTTTCAGAGGAAAGCCAACGCGTTGCTGCTCAAATGTGAAACTGGTGGCGCGAGGTGGACCGCCATTTGAGAAAAAGGAAAGGGAATTGTCGAAAGAGCCAGAAATATAGGCCTCTTTGATCTATACTATGGAGGCATCTAAGATTAAGAAATATAAATAATAAGCCCTAAGGAGAGTGGTCTACAGATGGAGGCAAGAGAGCTAGCGGGTGACGAGACGATAGAGGAGCAATATCGCCGCCGGGTGGATTCACCAATGTTTCACGACTGTCCACTTTGCTCCGTCTACGAGCCCTTCTTCTAAAATTTTCGCAACATTTCACTCACCTAACCATGGCGTGCGCCTTGAAGGATCTCCAGAAATTGGTGGTAGTTTACTACCTGATTAGGCACCGGAGTTCGGTTTTAGAGCTGGCAGCGGTTGCGCAATGCGCTGCAGATCGGTTGTAGAGCTCAACGCCGCCAACGGGACACTTCTCATTGGTGGGTGCTCACGGAGCTCGGGAACCCGAATTTGCAGTGTGTAACCTACAATGATTTTTGATGGTTGTCTTTCGCCTGAAACAATAATTTATTGTCCGCATCTTGAGCCCAATTGATCTTCTATTCGGATTAGGATTTGGTTGTTCCAGGTGATTCTGAATGGCTTCGGCGATATCACTGCGAAAAATAATCCGCTTTTGCAATCGGCGTCAAGAAATCGTGACTACGAGAAGGAAGCTGTGGAATTTTTCGTGATGAAGCTCACTAAATTTGGACCCGAATTACAGGTAATATAAGTGTACGACAATTCTTCATCGTTGTGCGCGCGAGTAGTGAGAAAATACGCATCTACTTCTGTCATTCATGGACATCCGGAGTTTTGTTGGCCTCGAGTTTGATGTGTCGACCGCTATGGCTTAAACCAGAGCTCCATGTACAAAATTCCATTTTTTTCCAATCAAAAATCCTGTATGCTAACAAAGAAAACTTAGAAATGTAACTACAGTAAACTTTTTGGCAAGCCCCTACATAGCACGTGAATTGTAAGTCCAAAACTAAACTTCCAGGTCCAAATGATGGACGTTTCATGAATTCTCCCGATAGTTGACTTCTAAAATGTGCACTATTTGATTGGTACATTGCTGAATCGTTGAGACTAATCGCCAGTCCTGTTTCAGATCAAATCGTTGCTGGGACATCGTTCTCAGGCCGCTCCAGAGGTCCGATTAGTCTCCGGTCGTCATCTGAAGGAATTCTGCGAG